TATTGTGATGAAACTGGGAAACGTAGGCAACTCACAGCAGCTCTAACTCCTCAGCAAAATGGAGTTGCTGAGAGGAGAAACAGGACAATCATGAACATGGTTCGATGCATGCTTATCGATACTAGTGTTCCTGCAGTCTTCTGGCCAGAAGCAGTAGCATGGTCTGCTTATGTTCTTAATCGAAGTCCTACCAAAATCAATAAGGATAAAACTCCCTATGAACTCTGGAATGGTACACCTCCTGTGGTGGATCATTTCAAAGTGTTTGGCTATGTAGGATTTGTTCATGTTGCTGATCAGTACAGGAAAAAGTTGGATGCTAAGAGTGTTAAATGTCACTTCTTTGGTATATGTTCTGAATCCAAAGCCTATAGAATGTACAATCCTAGTACACGGAAGCTTATTATCAGCAGGGATGTTCAATTTGATGAGAGCAAAGGCTGGACTTGGGACTTAGAGGTGCAACCAGTACCTACTCAGCTACTATGGGAAGGTTGTGATGAAGATATGCAGGAATCTGATGAGGAAAGTGAAGACACACCAGCAGATGAACAAACAAATTCTACTAGTTCTACTGCAACTCCAACAACTCCATCATCTCCAGCTACTTCGGATGAATCCCCACATAATTCAGATGAGGAGAATGGTGCTGACAGCCTTGGCTTACCACCAAGAACCAGGAAGCCTCCTTTTTGGCATACTCAGTATGATATGGGATAAGTGAGTCTAGATCCCAATGATTTCTATCTCCTTATGGCTGCTGCAGTAGATCCTATGACTTATGAAGAAGCAGCTCTTTACAAAATATGGAGAGATGCTATGCTACTTGAAATGCAGTCAATAAAAAAGAATGGCACCTGGGAACTGACTACCCTGCCTGTTGGCATAACACCAATAGGTTTGAAGTGGGTTTTCAAGACGAAGTTAAATGAGTTGGTGAAGTGGATAAGTACAAGGCACGGTTAGTTGCCAAAGGGTATGCACAACAACTAGGTATAGACTACACTGAGGTGTTTGCACCTGTAGCAAGATGGGATACCATTAGAATTCTGCTTGCTCTTTCTGCTCAACACAGCTGGCCAGTCCATCACCTTGATGTTAAAAGCGCATTTTTACATGGAGAACTTCAGGAAGAGTTTTATGTTATGCAACCTCAAGGTTTTGAGGTAGCAGGGGAGGAAGACAAGGTGTACATGCTTAAGAAAGCCTTATATGGCTTGAAGCAGGCACCACGTGCCTGGTATTCTAAAATTGAAGGGTATTTCTTGGAGACAGGTTTCCAGAGGTGTCCTTATGAACACACTTTGTTCATTAAAAGAAGAGGAGCTGACATTCTTATTGTTAGCTTATATGTAGATGATCTGATGTGTGTTAGCAGCAATGACGATTTCCTTGTTGAGTTCAAGACTTCCATGAAGAGCAAGTTCGAAATGACAGACTTAGGAAGGATGAAATACTTCCTGGGAGTGGAGATCACTCAAGTTGCTGGTCAGGGAGTGTTCATTGGCCAAAAGAAGTACACTAAGGAACTTGTGGAGCGTTTTCAACTCCTGGAGAGCAATTGTGTGAAGATTCCTATAGCGCCAGGAGCTAAACTTACGTTGGAAGGGGATGGAGTTCTAGTGGATTCAACTCTGTACAAGCAGTTGATTGGGAGTCTGTTGTATCTAACAGCAACTCGACCTGACATAATGTATGTGGTTTGCCTACTTAGCATGTTCATGGCAAAACCAACAAGGCTTCACATGGTAGCAGCAAAAAGGGTACTAAGGTACCTCAAAGGGACTCTCGGATATGGAATAAGGTATAAGGCTGGTGCACAGAATGATCGCTTACTTAGTTATACAGATAGCGATTATGCAGGGGACATCAATGACAGGAGAAGCACGAGTGGATATGTTTTTTTCTTGGCTGGTGGACCTGTGTCGTGGGCTTCCAAGAAGCAGCCTGTGATGACTTTGTCAACCACAGAAGCAGAATTTGTGGCTGCTGCTTACAGTGCTGCACAATGCATTTGGATGAAAAGGATACTAAAGGAGATGGGATGGCTGGAAACTACAGGAGGAGGGACAAGGATTCTGTGCGATAATAGCTCTACGATCAAACTATCAAAGAATCCAGTTCTACATGGTCGTAGCAAACATATTGATGTTCGTTTCCATTTCCTTAGAGATTTGGTCAAGGAAGAAGTCATCAAACTGGAGCATTGTGGCACAACTGATCAGGTTGCTGATATCATGACAAAGGCTGTAAAGATAGAAACTTTTGAGAAGCTAAGGGGAGAGCTGGGAATGTGTACTGTTGCTGAACTTCAGGGAGAAACAGATGCTGCTGCAGAATGAGCATTTATTGCCTTAAACTCAACCTCAGGCGGTTTGAGTTTAGGGGAGGATATGTTGGGTCGAGAATACAAGGTCAGAGTATTTGGGCTGGGTCTCGTGTCTTGGGGAGTTGGGTCAATAAAGAGTCCAGTTAGTAGTCAGTAGGAGTCCAGAACGTGTTAGCTTTCTGTTAGTAGTGTCGAGTTGTTGCTTGTTTTAAGGACTGTTGTTGTTAAACAGGGGTCGTTTGGAGAATATGAGTTTAAATCTATAGATTGTCAACAATCTAAAGATTCTAACTCTTCGGATTGTTGAAAACAGATTTTAAAATGTTTATTGTTTGGTAACTGTGATTGTTAACATTCAAGTAAAATAAAAAATTTAATTTTATATTAAATAACATGTTTATCCTTAATAAAAAATTAGATTGGTTCGAGAAATATAAAAAACTTTGTTGATAAATATATTTCATGTGATAAATAAATAAAAGGATGAGAAAAATTAGGAGAGAAAAAATCTCAAGAATCAAGATATAGAATCTCTCCGATTATGAGAGATTTGATATCCGCAGATTTTAGAGATTTGAAATCTCTAAAGCTAGAATCCACAATACAAAAAGCAACAAAAAAACATAACTTTCTACAAAATCTACGGATTCAGTGAATCCATGTCCTGAATCATGTTCTCCAAACGACCCCACAGTTCCTGGTTTTATGTTAGATAAGCCGAGCAATAGGGGTTGTGGCAGCTGGTTTTTAGCTTCCAGTTGTTATGCTTGATGTATTTAAATAGTACGCTGAATCTTGAATAATATCATCAAGTTTGCTTGGCATTTTTCTCGTTTACACTAACACCCTGCCTCAATTAATTATTCTTGAAAACGGTAGCTCAATTAGTACAATATTGTCCGGTTTGGGCCAAACCCATACGTACCTACTTATGGTTTCCTTTTCAAAATTCCTCGTACTAATTGAGCTTGATGGACATTAATATACTAGGGTCATTCGCCTGGTATTTTCGATTTGGTACTTGGATTGCACTATAACAATCATCCCCTCAAGAGAAGGACCACAAACTTCGTGTCCTCCCCTTAGCGATTATCTTGGTCCACTAGACACCTTGCATCGACAGACTTTTCGACACAAGGATTTACTAGATGTATATCTCCATTGATATGCTAGACAAACGGATATCTTCCTCGATCCGCCAAACAAAGAGAAATCTCAAAATCTCGAAGTCACCGAATGGGGATCCACCGAACTGACGCCCACCGCCCTGGATCGAAACCAAACCATGCTCTAATGACCTTGTACTAATTGAGCTTGATGGACACTAATATACAAGAGTAATTTGCCTTGTATTTTTCGAACAAGTATTTGGATTGTACCATAATAATCCTCTCGTCAAGACAAGGACTTTCGTGTCCTCCCCTCTCCGATTATCTTGAACCGCCAGACAACTTATATCGACAGCCTCTTCGATACAATAATTTACCATATGCATATATCCATTGATATGCCAGTCATATGCAAATCTTCCTTAATCTAGCAAACAAACCCAGATCTCAAATCTCTAGGTTACCGAATGAGGCTCCCAGTCCCACCAAACTAATATCCACCTCCCCATATTCAAACAGAACCAGACTCCGATACCACTTGTCTTGACTGGGGAGCTCCATTAATACGATATTGTCCGCTTTAGTTCAAGTTCGCAAATATTTACTTTTGAGTTCCTTTCCAAAAGACATTGTACTACTTGACCTTGATGAACATTAATATACAATGATTATTTTCTTTGTATTTCCGATATTGTATTTGGATTGCACCATAACAATTATCTTTCTCAATTTTTGCCTCCGTATTTCCTTCAGTAGAATATTAGTGTTAATCTCTAATTTTGCATTCCTCTGCTCACATTCATTGGATGAAAGAGATGAATGGATGGTTAAGATATAGGTTCTCACTGTACAAACCCTTATAAGGTTTGCACATATCATATTCTAGTTTTTTACCTGTAAAATATTTAACATAATTTTTATTACAGGATTGTGCATTAACTACTTTTATTCATTGTTAAAAAAAACTATCTTTTAGGTAAAGTTCGCATTTGAATTCTGAACTGAAAAAAGCATCACAGTAAAGAAGAATGAAACCGAAACTGAAACTGATAAAACTGAGTTTTAATAAATGATAACGCGGTATGGATAGAACTGTTTCAATTTAAATTAGTGATTGGTGAAATTATACAATAACTTATTCTGGACAAATTAGCAAAACAACAATATGATTGTGGTTTAACTAGTAGTATACATATGTAATGTTACAGTTAAAATGACATTCGAACGGCAATATAACACTATACTACCGATCGAAACTCACAAAATCAATCTAAGATATCAGACATAGACAATTCAATGTTGTGGTGTGTACCGGTCACGGTGGACACAACATGGCATGACAATTCACGCATGTATGTAGTAAACACAACGCAGACGGTCCAAAAAAGAATTTCAAGAACAAGAAAGCAAAAAAAAAAAAAAAAAGTGATCAACTCGCTGCCACATAACTCAATGAATAACAAACTGAAGACACCCCCATTGCCATTGGCAAAAGTCTTTTTTTTATTATTCTTTTTTCTACTTCAAGCTCTGATACAGCGAGAAGAATACGCAGATTCTCAGGCATTAGATGCCAAAATCCCCGATTTTGCCTGCCCAATTTGATTTTGCAGCCCCTCCCTTTAAAACCACCTGCTTCTTTCTCGACCTCTCCCTTCTGCTTTCTTCTTACACAGAAGAGACGAGAAGATCTACTCTTTTAACACCCTGAAAAAACAAATCGGAAATTCATCCTCCTTGTCTCCTCCCACTTTCCACCTACTCCACAGCAGCCCCGAGATATATAAAAATAACCCAAAGAAAGGCAAGCCACGCGAGATTGTTCATATTCTTCTGGTTGGTCTGGGATTAGTTAACTACACATTTGCGTAACTGGAGAGGGCTTTTTCTGGTGTTGTTGATTTCGTGCTCTGTTATTCTTTCTTCCTTCCTTCCTTCCTCATCCGCGTGTCTTTGTCTACTCATCCTCCATCCCCCGGCGCATTCTTTATTTTCTCGTGGTGGTTCAACTCCCTCCGCCCTAACCAGTTTGATCCTGAAAGCTTGCCTGCCCCTTTTCTTCACAAAGTTCCAGTCTTTTTTACGTGTTCGACCTGTCCATTAGAGGAACTGGGGGTTTGTTCGAATTGGGTAATCAATCGGCTTGCTTGATTTGGAAAGTCGCGTAGTTTGCCACTCTTTTTGGAACTGTGCTCGTTTCTGGAACAATAATTTCGGAGGTAGAGGGGATGATTCTGAAGTTGAGCCCTCCTCATCAGCCAGGGTAGGGAAACTGTTCTTTTTTTGTGTGTGTTCTGCGTTTTGGAGAAATGGGTCGCCGTTAAAGTTGGAGCGGAAACGAGCGTTAGTGTCTTCCCCGCCACACCCAATGGATCTGGAGACGGGAGCTCATCGTAATCATCTTAAGGTGAGATGGGTATTGCTTATTTCTCTGTTTTAAACCGCTGGCATTGATTTCATAGAAGTTTCTGTTTCTATTTCTCAGTGTTAATTGGCAGAAAAATTCAAGGTTGGTTCTTGAAAACTAAGCGCCTCTCTTGTTACTGTTCTTGTTTTCTTTGGCGAGCAGAAGGAATCATGGCGGACGGTGTTGACTCTGGCGTACCAAAGCCTAGGAGTGGTGTATGGAGACTTGAGCACATCGCCGCTGTACGTCTACAAGAGCACATTTGCGGAAGATATTACGCACTCGGAGACGAACGAAGAGATCTTTGGGGTTCTGTCATTCGTCTTCTGGACACTCACCCTCGTCCCTCTCTTGAAATACGTGTTCATAGTTCTCAGAGCCGACGACAATGGCGAAGGAGGGACGTTTGCCCTCTACTCGCTGCTGTGTCGGCACGCCCGAGTCAACGCGCTCCCCAATCGGCAGGTGGCGGATGAGGATCTGTCCGAGTACAAGAAGAAGGACAACCTTATTGCTACTTCCGGCTCGAAAACCCCGAGTTTTGGGTCGAGCTTGAAATCGACTCTGGAGAAACACAGGGTGCTGCAGAGGATCTTGCTGGTTTTGGCCTTGATTGGGACTTGTATGGTCATTGGCGATGGCGTTCTCACCCCTGCCCTTTCTGGTAATGTTTCCACCATACCCTTTTTCTGGGGTTTTCGTTTTTTCTCTAATCGATTGATGGTTTCGTTTTCTTGCTTGGACAATTATTATTGTGTGGGGGTGTTTGATGTGATTGTGTGGTGATGGCAACTTGGTTGATGTGGCGCTTCCATTTTGGTTTGCAGTTTTCTCTGCAGTCTCGGGGGTTGAGCTTTCATTGTCAAAGGAGCATCACAAATGTAAATTATCATTTCTTTCTCCTTCTCTTATGACCATTCATTTTCCTTCTCTGGAATTTCTCAGCCGACTGCTGCCATGCCATGAGAAAATCAACATTTGTATTTTGTAACAAGTTGATCAAGCTTGACTTGTTTGATACTTGAGCTGCCGTTACTATCATCTAGCAGAATAGTTTGAATCTTGGACTGGTTTTACTTTTGACTAGCTTTGAGTTCCCTGCCAACCGCATCATGGAACTTTCAAGTTTCTTCCTTTTTCTCGGGACAGTGTGGAATCCTCTATTTGTAAAGTCACGTTTCTGTTGTCGGCTACTTTTTCCTATTCAAGAATGACCTAATCTGACTTGTCTGCTTCTGGCTTGTAGCTGTGTAGCTAGCTAGTAGCTTCATCACCAGACTTGAGCTTTCCTAGCCTCAACTAGTGCATTATTTTTCATTAAACTGCTTGTGTTCTTGATTGATCACAGGAACTTAAGTGTAGCATTGTATGAATGTGCAGATGTAGAACTCCCAGCTTCATGCGCTATACTTATAGCGTTGTTTGCCCTACAACATTATGGGACCCACCGGGTCGGATTCTTGTTCGCACCAGTGGTTCTGATATGGCTTCTGTGCATCAGTGGGATTGGGATATACAATATTGTGCACTGGAATCCCCATATCTACAAAGCACTATCACCATATTACATGTACAAGTTCCTGAAGAAAACTCAAAAGGGTGGATGGATGTCATTAGGAGGGATTTTGTTGTGCATAACAGGTTCATTTTCATCCACAATTATTCAGGTTGTTGAAGCCTTTCTAACATAAACGGAATACTGTGGATAATGTCCTAATTCGCTTCTTTTTCATCATTTAGGCTCAGAAGCTATGTTCGCAGATCTGGGGCACTTTTCTCAGTTGTCCATCAAGGTATACAAGAACTTTTTCATTGTCCATTGTAAAATCAAGACGATTTCATTGTTATTGTTTCACTCACTGTATTTCAGCTTGTTAAGTATATAAGAATTGGATGTCTCTTTGGCATTGACGAATCACGTTATTGTGCAGATCGCTTTTACCTCTTTGGTTTATCCGTCGTTGATCCTTGCTTACATGGGACAGGCTGCATATCTATCGACGCACCATGTGATAGAAAGTGATTACCAAATTGGTTTCTATGTATCTGTACCTGGTATGTACCTTGAGTGACTCATTTTCATATAGCTTGTGTATCTATCTCTATTTCCAAGTTCTTAGCTAACTGCAGTTCTACTGATGCATTGTTCTAAGATAAACTAAGGTGGCCAGTTCTTGTCATAGCCATACTTGCTGCAGTGGTGGGCAGCCAAGCAATCATCACAGGGACTTTCTCAATCATTAAACAGTGTTCATCCCTGGGTTGCTTCCCTAAAGTCAAAATAGTCCACACGTCATCCAAAGTCCACGGCCAGATCTACATCCCTGAGATAAACTGGACTCTAATGCTGCTTTGTTTGGCTGTTACAATCGGTTTCAGAGACACCAAACGCCTGGGAAATGCTTCAGGTAGAGAATAACACAAGTGCTAAAAGCTTTTAATACATAAGTGTGTGAATGTAGTAGTAACTTTAAGTACTTTTGCTTCACTTATGTGGAACAGGTTTGGCGGTTATTACAGTTATGCTGGTCACAACCTGCCTAATGTCTCTGGTAATCGTCTTATGCTGGGAAAAGAGCGTGTTTCTAGCAATAGGCTTCGTGTTCTTCTTTGGCACGATTGAAGCGCTTTACTTCTCAGCTTCCCTCATCAAATTTCTGCAAGGAGCCTGGGTACCCATTGCACTGGCATTCATATTCCTGCTCATCATGTGCGTGTGGCACTATGGCTCACTAAAGAAGTACGAATTCGATGTCCAAAACAAGGTCTCCATCAACTGGCTGCTTAGTTTGGGTCCTAGCCTTGGCATTGTTCGAGTAAGAGGGATAGGCCTCATCCACACCGAGCTTGTGTCGGGAATTCCTGCAATCTTCTCCCACTTTGTCACCAACCTTCCAGCATTCCACCAAGTCCTGGTGTTCCTCTGCATTAAATCAGTCCCCGTCCCCCATGTGGGACCCGAGGAACGGTTCCTAATAGGCCACATCGGCCCAAGAGAGTACAGGCTGTACCGGTGCATAGTCAGATATGGGTACCGTGATGTCCACAAAGATGACACAGAGTTCGAAAAGGATCTGGTTTGCAGCATAGCAGAATTCATACGAGCTGGGAGCACTGAATTCAATGCTGACATGCCAAAAGAAGAAGATGACAAGATGACAGTGGTGGGTACTTGCTCATCTAACGCTGCTGGGATACGATTGAGGGAGGAGGACAACGAAGAAATAGAACAAGACCCTGGAACCTCAGAGCAACGGGAGATAAAGTCACCACCTCCAGCAATGCAACTGAAGAAACGAGTAAGATTCATCGTCCCGGAGAGCCCCGAGATTGATAAAGCTGCAAGGGAAGAGTTGCAGGAACTCATGGAAGCCAGGGAAGCAGGGGTTGCGTACATACTCGGGAACTCGTACGTCAGGGCAAAGCAAGGATCCAGCATGTTGAAGAAGTTTGTGATAAACTATGGGTACGAGTTCTTGAGGAGGAACAGTAGGGGCCCTACACATGCCCTTACTGTACCTCATGCATCTACCTTAGAAGTAGGGATGATATACAATGTCTGAAAGAGAAAGTTTTGACCTACTGATGCCAGTTCTTAGAGGTGTGTCTGTGTCTGTATTTATATGTACATCCTGTAATCTTTTGAGCTTGTTATAATGGATACAAGTGGGAAGCAAGCCCACCATATGTTAGAAAATGGTGGGATCATAATCATACTTACTACGTATAAAAAGCAGTTCTTGTACAATTTGTGGAATTCCTTCCAACTTCATCGTTATCAAATTTCAACCTGACAATGACCGAGGAACCAACTCCAGACCATGTGGACGTTTTCGGGGAGAAAAATTCTGGTGTTTGAACTCAATTAATGCACTTTAACTTCTTGAACAACGAAAATCAATATGATTCACACCATTTTGAACGAGTGTGTTTGATATTTTTATGGTTTTTTAGAAACAAGCTACGTTAATTACACATATTCCTATGGAGGTTCAGTGAGAGCTCCGGAAATTAAAAGTTATGGCTAATTTGCAGAGAAAAAGATAAAGTTTGATATAGTGTGGAATCCTTGCTTCGTCTTCGTTTCTCTTATTTATAGTCATCTCTCGTAACCGCCCTGTAACTGCCTATTTTAACCGCTGCTTCCCATGCCTGGTGCTTGATGTAGATTGCTTGATATCTTAACTGCCTTGCCTTTTGGTATCTTGATAGATTGATGACTTCACTTGGCAGGTAGCCACCTAGTGTCGTGGAGGTATCATGCGTGGCTTCATCTTGATGTTTGATGCATTGGTGATACTATGCTGACCACCCTTGCATGATGTTATGCTTGGCACCAAGGTACCATGCACGACTAAGATTGTCGATGGTTAGCACGTGCAGATTATTGTCGATACTATGGTTGGTGATACTATGATGCATTGGTGATACTATGCACGACTATGATCACTTGAGTCCGTGCAGATTATTGTCGATGGTTAGCACGTGTCAACAACTGCCCCATCCTACCTAAGCCAAGTTTAACCTAAGATGACATTGTCGTATAGTGGTAATCAAGGTCATATTTTACTCGGGTTATGGTACCCTAGCCTACTTTCCACCTTATTGTTAATTAGTTAATCGGTTTTGTAGGTTTGAGTGGAGGATTTGAGGGAATTACTAGTTTAGAGATCAAATAAAGCTAAAAGTAGGTACTTCGGGGAACTATCCCTCACCCTAGTCTAGGACTACTATGTATGTCTAGATACTTAGGGTTATCGAATGTGGTGAGTGAGCTCGTTTCCGTGGGCTTTCGTGGTTATCCACACCCCTCCGAGTACGCCTCCCCTAGACCCATATAAAGTCACCTCGATCTAGCCTATCGTATCTGGGGCACTAAACTCGTAGCTCCTTTCAATGGATACTATACATAGTCCACACCGAGGTTTTATCCTGGGTTTTATCTAGGAAGGCTACCTATAGCAGGGGTTCGGTTGCCTCGGCCACCATAGGTCCCTGTTCATACATCTATCTCGATTTGCTTGTGGTGCATACCCATCTTACCCTAGAACTCCATACCCAGCGTAGAAGCATAAAGTAAGCTAATAAAAAAGATTAATGTGACTTACTCAAACACAATCAAACACATTCATTCATTCAAACCCTAAAATATCCACATATACATAGTAAACCCTAAAACTTAGGTTTGGTGTTTTAGAACCCAAGTACCTTAGAGGACTACTCCATAAAGGAGGGAAGAAGATACATAGAAGAAATTGAAAAAGACTTGAGGTTGAGGAAGATGTCTCCTCTCTTCTAGCTCCTTCTCCTTCTTCTCATCTTTTCCTTCCTTCAGCTTCTCTCTCTCTAAATTTTTTTCTTCTCCTCTTAACCAGAATTTTTTCTCTCAAAATCAGCTCCTCTAAAAGGGGAAAAGGGGTCTCCTATTTATAGGAAATCAGAGGATGCAAGTTTGCGGCCACAAGGGCAGAGATCGCAGACGAGATCTTCATAGGAAAGGCCGCGATCTTGAAACGCAGCCGTACTGTCGTTCGGAATTAAGGAGATCGCGGGCTGGCTTTGCGATCGCGATCTGCGAGTCGTGGCCGCAATCTTCCTCATTGTCAAAATGCACTGTGGCGGTGATTCTACTGTGGAAACTCTATGTTTCTCCTTGGATCCTTCTTCGCGAAGTTCGCGCCCTGAACCCTCCAATTCCCGGCCGCAATCTTGGGCTTCCAGGCCGCGATCTTTAGCTTGACTTCGCGGTCCAGGATCTCGGCCGTGATCTTTACTTCTAGGCCACGATCTTCAGTCTTATGCCCCCTTGCTACACTTGTGACCTTGTTTTGTACCTAATTCATATATATCATCTAATACACCCTAAAATCACATCGAATTCAAATAGGAACGGAATAGGGATGCAATTAACAATATTTAAGCATTTATGCACATGAATTGACACGAAACAAACCTCAATATGAAAGGTAAATAACACCAATTTAGGTGTTATCAAACTCCCCCACATTTAGGCATTTGCTTGTCCCCAAGCAAACCTACTCAACCCTAAGAGAAATCAATGGGGGAATGCACCCTAATTCTTCATTGCATAAAGAAGAGTAGACGGAGATGAATGAACGTTACTATCATCTTACTGTGCAAGCACAAACACTCGGGTGAGGACCATACCTACTACCTTAGGCCAAACATTCAAGGTGTGCTCCGGGGGATTCTCTAACACAAATAAGCACAAGAACTCTCGAAGGTGCTCTTTATTCTCTCTTTAGATTTAGGATTTGTCGTTTATTGGTCTCATTTTTCAACGTTGACGCGCATTGCACCAAGCTTTAGCAATTCTTTGCAAACAAGCAACACTCCCTCATATGACCAAGAGCGGATGAATCATAACCTTCCTTTTCAAGGTCACATGTGGGGAAGTTGATGGGCGGATACATCTTAGCCCGAGCACCACTTCCCAGTCTGCACTCCACATTGAGTTGCCACATGTCGGGTACAAACGAGAGTTTTGAGGTCTCATGAATCGCTAAAATGTACTTTGTTCTCTACTACCAGTTGTCATATAAAATTAACATGTACCTCGATGTATTTTGTTCTCTCATGAATAACTGGATTAATCACTATTTGAATTGCACTTGTATTGTCATCATAAAGTCTCATAGGTAAGCAACACTCAACTTCCAGTTCTTGAATGACTCGTGGCAACCAAACCAATTCTACTCATGCCTTTGACATTGACCTATACACAGCTTTAATCGATGACTCTAAAACCTTATCCTACTCTTGGTACCTCCAAGAAACAAAATATTGACCAAGCCGAATGCACCATCCTGATGTTGAACGTCTGATATCCTGACATCCTGTATAATCATAACTTAGAAAGGTTTCACAACTAGTTCACCTTTCAAAGAAAAAAAAACAATCCTACATCTCGAGTACACTTGAGATAACAGAGTAGTCTATGAGTTGCATCTAAGTGTGGGGCTCGTGCAACTCCCATAAACTAACTAAAAAGATGCATTATATAGTATATACCAAATGTCAGACCGAGTATGACTAAGAGATGTCAAAATCTCTACTATACTGCGGTACATAGTTTGTTCTTCGCTAAGATCACCACCCTCTCTACTCATCTTGAGATTCTGCTTGATAGGCGTCACACAGGTTTGCAATCACTGAACTGTGTCGAGACCAAAAGTTCGCCAATATACTTCTTCTGGCACACAAATAAACCCAATATGAAACACTGAATTTCTAGTCCCAAGAGGTAAGAAACATCGCCCAGGTCCTTAAGATTGAATGCACTATCTAATGAGTGCTTAGGGTATCGAATCCCCTTCTGGTCACTCCCACTAATCCCCATGTCATCGACATATAGAAGTAAACAATAACACCACTCACAGTAAACATGAAACTTCTCAAACGAAGGTCGAGGAGCTTGCTCGAGACCATACAAAAACGTCATTTACACACTACATCCACCCCTCCCTTAAAATAATCGGCAGGACACTCTGTTTAAATATCATCCTTAAGATCTCCATGCAGAAATATATTTGTTTATGTCCAACAGAACCAGTAGCCAATTGTGCATAGCAGCTACGGAAATTACCAATCGAACAGTTTACATTTTAACCAATGGACCCAATATTTCCTCATAATCAATGTCATACTCTTGCCGAAAACCTTGTGCAACAAAACCAGCTTTGCACCGTTCTAGCGTAACAACATGATTCATTTTGAGTTTTTTCCTCTTCCTACTATATCACTTTCTATTTTTCATTTATCCCACCATATACTCTTACCAATAAATTCTTAATATTTATAGAGCCGCATTGATTTTTTTTGTAAACAAGTCATTTGATAAAATTAGAATTTACTTTTCATTGAATGTTAACAACCATAGTTGTCAAATAATAAATCTTTTTATTCTTTTTTAACAATCTAAAGAGTTAGAATCATTGAATTGTTAAGTTACTAAAAAATATTTAAACTCCGCTATTCCTAACGGCCCTTTTAGCGATTCAACCTATTCTAATTCTATCAATTCAAATTCCACTGGTTTCAAGATTTCACCATATTTTATCAGTCATTCATGTCACACACCGGACATGAGGAATCGACAGTAACAAGAAATGACAGCGATCAGCAAGAAAGTAAAGAACACATGAATTTATGTGCTTCGCTAACACAATGTGTGTTAACTACTCCACGGGCAAGAGAGAACGAGTTTCACTATACTTGAGGAGATTGCAAATTACAGAGGAGTATGAGAAGTATTTTTAGTACTTCCCCAAAATCTGGCAAAGAGAGATCCCCATGACATCCAGTCGACGACAAATCATCCTATTCAAGTTACATCACAAATCTCCACCTTGACTTGAATCCTCCACCAGAAATCTTTGATTTACTATGATCCTCCTCTCCCTCTCCCTCTCTCTCTCTCTCTCTCTCTCCTCCATTGCCCCTAAGAGCATATCATCCACTAAGGACATTCAGCAAGTTCAAGCAGTGTTGGAACTTACCATGTGGAACCAGCTTTGTGAACATGTCAACATGATTATCAACGGTGCCCGACTTTAGCACCTTGATCCTCTTCTCTGTTCTCAAGAAATTATACACATCGACGTGCTTAGTCTTCTCATGATAGACTTGATCCTTGGCCAAACATATTGCACTCAATGAGTCACACAATACACTACTGCTTGATAATGATATAAATCTAGATCACTAGCTAGCACCTTCAACCATATTCTCTCCCTAGTAGCCTCTATGGTAGACAAAGTAACTGTCGGCTGCAACGTTGCCTTG